GAGAGAGAGAGAGAGAGAGAGAGAGAGAGAGAGAGAGAGAGAGAGAGAGAGAGAGAGAGAGAGAGAGATGGAGAGAGAGAGGTGGGGCCGGTAGGGAGCGAGAGTGATAGGTGTTTCTTTGGCAGTAACGTCTTTGGGGGGGGGCCGGGAGAGAGGGAGAGAGAGAGAGAGAGAGAGAGATGGCGTTCGAGGAGAATCCGCTGTCTCTCTCGATTCCAGATCCGGCTTTCCAGTCATGGCTGAGAGAGGTGAGAGAGCACTTGATGGATGAAGCAGATGATGGAGATGGGCAAGAGAGAGAGAGGGGGAAGAAGAGGGGAGTAGGCTTGCTATGGAGGAGAGGGAGTGGCGGGGGAGGAGGTCGTCGTGGGTCCTCGTCGTCCCGTTCTGTGCATTCCGCAGAGCATTCGATTTCTTCCAGGTCGTCGATGCCACCACCTGTCGGTGCCACGTCAGCAATGACGACACGTGACGGTTTCTCATTTGGCAGCTTGTGGTCCATTGTTGATGATTTGACGTATCAAGACCTGACCAGATCGCCTTGTTCATGGACAGACGAGTTTTTGTCGGACGGTACGGTCCCGACTGGGGGAGGTGGTGAGACCTCCACCTCCACCTCCTCTCCTTCTTATTCCTCCTACTCCTGGCCCATCGACTGGGAGGAAGCGAAACTCCGTCTGCAAATTAATCTACGAAAGTTCATGGGAAACTACCTTGTAATTACCTTGCTTGTTCTTCTCTCTGTTCTGTGTAGAAAGCCAATCGCTCTTCTTGGATTAGGGTTTTTGATGTGGGTTTGGGGTTCATTCCACAGCTACGTTCTTAGGCAGCGTCTGGATCCGCAAAAGACGCTATACAAAGGGTTAAGGGGTATGTTATGGATCTTGACATGGGTCGTTGCACTCTACTGCAAGCTGAATGTGGCTCTCATGATGTCTGGATTCATCAGCCTTTTGTTCGTCGGGGCTCATGGAAGCTTCAGGAAGTTGAGCCCTTCTTCCAAGGTTGGGAGAAGGAGGTAATAATACGTAATACAAAGAACTCCCAAGGATTCGTTGCACCCTCTTTTGATTGATTGCACCCTCTTTTGATTGATTGATTGCCTCTCCCTCCCTCCCTCCCTCTTCCTCTTCCTCTCGTCGTTTTCTTCTTCTCCTCTTCCTCTCCTCTCCCTCCCCTCTTCACATTTTTTAAAATACCCTCTTGAACTGCAAGCTGAATGTGGCTCTAATGATGTCCGGATTCATCAGCTTTTTGTTCGTCGGGGGTCCAGCATTTAATCTATCCCCCCTCTTCATGTCCGCTTCCTCCCCATCTTCGTCTCCTCTTCCTCCCTCTCCTTATCTTCTTGTGTTCCTCTCCATCGCATCTTGATACCCTGTTTAAAGTTTAAACCCCTCCTCATCCTCCCTCGGTATTGCCGACACCCACGTCTCTTTCCTCCTCTGGTCCTTATATCCAGCTTCGTGTTCATTGCGGCTATTGTCGAGAGCTTTGCTTATGAGGGTTGAGCTATAATTAGCTATAATTATCAAAAAGGTCGTTGGAAAGGAGGAGGAGGAGGAGGAGGAGGAGGAGGAGAAGTAGAAGAGGGTTCTCCTCCTTCCTCGTGGAGGGCGGATTCTCGAGACAATGATCTCCGGTGCATCATCCTCCTCGTCGTGCCCCTCCTCCTTCGTTGTGGAGGTGTTTTCTTGGGAGAATGTTCCAGTCCTCTCCACTCCTCCCTTGGCCCCCCTGCTCCTTCTCCATCCCCTTCCGAATGTCACAAGGAGAGAGAGAAAAAAGATGGTTTCTCCATTGTGGAGGTGGTTTCTTGGGAAATGACTGCTGGGCTATATGAGGGGGGGGGAGGGGGGGTACTAAACGAGAATAATGACCGGGAGCCGGGAAGGTATGATGTCTCCTCCTTTGTCTCTTTCTCCTTCCTTCTCCTCGCTTCTCCTCCCTTCTCCTTCCTTCTCCTCCGTTCTCCTTCCTTTCCCTCCCTTCTCCTTCCTTCTCCTCTTTTGCCTTCTCTTGTCCTGTCGAATGTGACGATGAGAGAAAAGAATGACGGTGGAAATTGCAGGGTAGCGTAGCAAACGCTGCTGCAAACCCAACCTGGGATCGAGTTGCTACAAGTCCAACCTGGGGTGTAACTCAGGAGAGAGAGAGAGAGAGATTCTTTTTGCTGCAGGCGGCAGGGGAGCACCCACGCGCAGATATAACGGATCGCTGGGCATCGTGTGTGTGTGTGTGTGTGTGTGTGTGTGTGTGTGTGAGAGAGAGAGAGAGAGAGCGAGAGTCATTCATCACACATTCTTTTTGCTGCGCGCGGCAGGGGAGCACCCGCGCGCGTATAGAACGGATCGCTGGTCGTGATATATCGTGATATATATATATATATGTATATTCTTGTGACAATATATAGATAGATAGATAGATAGATAGATAGATAGAGAGAGAGAGAGAGAGAGAGAGAGAGAGAGAGAGAACACTTTTTTTGCTGCGTGCGGCAGGGGAGCACCCGCGCGCAGATAGAACGGATCGCTGGCCATCGTAGGAACAATAACAGAGCAAAAAGTTCTCGCACACGAGATTCTTGGTGGATGTTGCTGACCACAATAACGCCGCGCCTTGTGAGTACACCTAACATCTCTCTTGTCGCCCTCTGCACTCGCTTCCCTTTCACATGGGAAGCACACACACATACACAGAGAGAGAGAGAGAGAGAGAGAGAGAGAGAGAGAGAGAGAGAGAGAGAGAGAGAGAAGAACGGTGTGATGGAAATCGTAGAGCAGAAGACGCTGCTGCAAGTTTTAACCTCCCTGCGGCTCTCCTCCCCCTGATGAAAGCAGAGAAAGATACAAGAACACTGCTTGTTTCTTATCGGGAAAATAAAGCCGAAGATGATGAGTGATCATCATGCTGCCGCGTGGAGCAAGAAAGAAGAGGGGTATAAGTAAAATTGTCATCCAGACTTGGAGCGAGGAAGAGGATAGAAGAGGAAGACGGTGGAAATCTGCGCGTTGACGGAAGCTGATGAATCTGGGCCTGATTGCGGCTACAGCGCTCATCAGGTGGAGGATGATGAAGCTGATGAATCTGGGCGTGATTGCGGCGACAACGCTCATCAGGTTGAGGATGACGAGTAGTCATCATATGCTGACGTGGAAGCGAAAAGGACGAGGGAGATGAGAAACCATCACGGCGACGTGGAGCAAGAAAGAGGAGGAGGAGGATGGAAATGCGCACGTTGCAGGAAAACTGATGAATCTGGCCCTGATTGCGGGTACAGTACGTATGAATGGGATGGGAGGATGAAGGGTTTGTAATCATATTGCTGACGTGTAGTAAGAAAGATGATGAAGATGGTGGAAATGCGCGAGCTGTCTACAGCCATGAGGAAGCTGGACCGTATTGCGGGTGTACAGCAATCATCAGCGGGAGGATGATTGGTAATCATCATCCTGGCATGGACTTTTTGTCCCGACCTTGCTCCTCCTATCTGGGTCCTTGGTCGTGAAAGTCGGGACACGGCGCTGGTCTGGTCTGGTCTACGGACAGGAGGTAATTAGGAGGAAAATGGGGATGGAGGGAGTAATTAGGAGAAAGAATGACCGTTATCTGGTCTCGGTCAGGTCCTGATCTGCTGTTGGTCCGATCCTGGAACAATCTTGGTCCGACGAACCGTCGATCTCGCACCGATGATCTTGCTTGGTCCGTTGATCTTGGACCTATCTTTGGTCTAGTTATAGTCCGGTTTTGGTCCGACCTTGGTCTGATATTGGTCCGATTCTGGAACAATCTTGGTCCGATGAACCGTTTATCTCGCACGGATGGTCTTGGTCCGTTGATCTTGGACCTATCTTGGTCCGGTTATAGTCCGGTTTTGGTCTGACCTTGGTCTGATATTGGTCCGATCTTGGTCCGATGATCGTGGACCTGTCTCGGTGCGGTTTTGGTCCGATCTTGGTGTAGTCCATCTTGGTCGAGCCTGGTCAGATCTTGGTCCGTTGATTTTGGACTCGGTCCGATCTTGGTCCGTTGATTTTGGACTTGGTCCGATCTTGGGTCGCCCTCGATCCGGTTTTCGGTCCGGTTTTCGATCCGGTTTTCGGTCCGGTTTTGGTCCGATCTCGTTCCCTGGACTTGATTGTTGGGTCTGATCTGGTTCGATGATCGTGGACCTATCTTGGTGTGGTCGTGGTCCGAGCCTGATCAGATCTTGGTCCGATGATCTGGGACTGACGATGCTGGTCCGTCGATCGTGGACCTGTCTCGGTGTGGTTTTGGTCCGATCTCGTTCCCCGGATTTGATTGTTGGGTCTGATCTGGTTCGACGATCGTGGACCTATCTTGGTGTGGTCTTGGTCCGAGCCTGATCAGATCTTGGTCCGATGATCTGGGACTGATGATGCTGGTCCGTCGATCTTGGTCCGATGATCGTGGACCTGTCTCGGTGCGGACTTGATTGTTGGGTCTGATCTGGTTCGACGACCGTGGATCTATCGTGGTGTGGTCTTGGTCCGCTCTTGGTGTGGTCTTGGTCCGAGCCTGGTCAGATCTTGGGCCGATGATCTGGGACCGATGATGCTGGTCCGTCGATCTTGGTCCGATCTTTGTCCGGTTTCGGTCCGGTTCTGGGTCCGATCTCGGTCCGATCCAGTGCCCTGGAGTTGAGTGTTGGGACATGACGTCCTTGCGGAGCAGGTCTGGTCTAGGGGGAGAGGAGGTAATTAGGAGGAAAATGGTGAGGGAGGGAGTAATTATAAGATTGAATGATGACAGGACTCCAGTGTACTTGATCCGTGCGGGGGCGGGGTGGGGGCCGGAGACCGGGGGGATAGTAACGGGGCGTCGGTCGGTGGGGCGGGGCCAAGGGGGCGGGGGGAGGAGCCGAAGCAAGTATGTAGAGAAGGGTTTGTTTAGCGGGAATTGTTCTGGTGTTAGACCGCGCTGAATTAGTATGAACATGGGTCAAATTACGACCAAATTCGTCCGGTTCTTCTTTCCTGACGCCTGCCATCGTGAGGACTCGACAGGGGCCGTTAATTAGTACTACTTCATGCTTGCTTGGCGCGCTTTTCCCTTTTTCCCCCTGATGGGGCCCCGGGGGGAGGTGTAACCCTCATCTCTTATACACATCTAGATGTGTATAAGAGACGGGAATTGTTCTGGTGTTAGACCGCGCTGAATTAGTATGAACATGGGTCAAATTACGACCAAATTCGTCCGGTTCTTCTTTCCTGACGCCTGCCATCGTGAGGACTCGACAGGGGCCGTTAATTAGTACTACTTCATGCTTGCTTGGCGCGCTTTTCCCTTTTTCCCCCTGATGGGGCCCCGGGGGGAGGTGTAACCCTCAAGTAGTATGAACATGGGTCAAATTACGACCAAATTCGTCCGGTTCGTCTTTCCTGATGCTGATGCCTGCCATCGTGAGGACTCGATAGGGGCCGTTAATTAGTACTACTGTATGTTTGTTTGGCGCGTTTTTTTCCCCTGATGGGTGCCCGGGGGGGGGGGGGGGGGAGGTGTAATGAGTAGGGAGGCTGGACTACCCTTCTTCCCCCGAACATAACGCATACGCGTTGTTGTAAACGAATACAACGCATAGGGGGGCGTTCTATTTCGAATACAGCGTACATGCGTTCTATTCGAATAGCCCCAAATTTCGAATACAACGCGTATGCGTTCTACACGATATATTTTTTTTTCAAATTTGGAAACTCGAATACAACGCATATGCGTTATGTTCTGGGGAAGAAGGGGGATGGATTTTCTTTGCATAGAATTTATGCCCTTGCTTGGGGTATATGCATTTTCTTTTCTTTTTTCTCGTAGGGGTATCAGCTGTACCCCCTTGCTTGGATTACATGGAGGCGTTGATTGCAGGCCCACCCTCTTTTCCCCCCTTCATTCCTTTATTTCTCTCCTCTCATCCCATGGTGACCTGCCCCCTCCTCTGTTCTTTTCTTTTCTTTTATATTTTTCTAAATCATTTTTTAATGTTTTTTTTTTTCTCTCTTTTCTTTTCTCGTCCCCCTTCTTGAAGCGGTTCACAGAAGCTACCCGTCTTCCCCCGAACATAACGCACTCTGAAAATGAGTGTCTACAAGCTATATTTCCGGCCAGATGCAGCCAAAATAAGGGTGCGTTGTGTTCGGGGGAAGACGGTAGTCCAGAAAATGAAAACCTGGTGGAGCACCCGGTCTGGTATATTCTCCCCCTGTTTCACGTCCCCTTCCCTGCG